TGCTGCTCAGTCCAAAAAAATTTCATAAATGGTGAAACACTGTGTAAATCAAAAGCATTTGACATTAGATTTTTTATGTCGCCATTAAAATCAGAGGTTACTCGTAATGCATTTTTTTTAATCTCATCTTGCATACTTTTCATTTCTTGTTTCAAAATGGCATTTTCAGATCGATAGCTTTGCAAGGTAAGTTTAATTCTATCAGGAGAAGTTATGGAGATGGGGGCATTTATATGAGCAGGTTTTGTCAGCGTTTCAGCTTTACGTTTTACAGCTTTTTGTAGTTTAGCATTTTGTGACAATTCCAAAGTTTTACATTCATTACAAGTATTGCCAGAATTTATCAATAAAAAACACAAAGTTGACCTATTAAATTCACTCTCAAATGTAGTGATTGATTTAACACTTGGATTGTACAATTTTGTAAGAATATGTTTTTTAAAACAGTTTGAACCTGATGCAACACCCTGACACAATGAGTAAGTTGATAAAAGAGCAATAATACTTGATAAAGTAATGTTTTTAACTGACTGTTTATAATTCAAATAAATATCATGCGTATCTGGTAAGTTCCAAGCAAAAGATCGTATTGTAAATATAAGGCTAGGTTGAACATATACTTCATATTGGGGTTGTAGGTGAATGTTGTCTACTTTAAAAACTTTGACTAAATCTTTCGATATAACAAGTTCCCATGATTCCAATTTTAGTATGCTCACTCGATCTACAAACTCTTGAAATGATTTATAAAAATAATGTATATGATTTTGAACTTTGCCTGATTCATTGCAATCTTTTTTTGATGTAATACTTAGTGTCGAAAGCCTTGTCTTTTTTAATAAACTAAAAAACAAAAATTAAAAAAAATAAATAAAAAAATAGAGAAAAACTAAGCTTATATTATTTTGAAAATTTTTACCTGGTTGTTTGAACACTCTTTATTGGTAAATTTTGTGAAGGTAGAGTTCCTGGTATAAGTCTTGCTCTAGTTGAATCTATATATATATATAAAAATATATATATATATATATATATATATATATATATATATATATAAATTATATATATATATATATATATATATATATATATATATATATATATATATATATATATATATATATAAATTATATATATATATATAAATTATATATATATATATATATATATATATATATAAATATATAAATAAATTATATATATATATAAATCTCTCTCTCTCTCTCTCTATATATATATATATATATATATATATATATATATATATATATATATATATATATATATATATATATATATATATATATATATATATGTATATATATATATATATAAATATACATAATTATATATATATATAAATATACATAATTATATATATATATATATAAATATATATAAATATATATAAATATATATATATATATATATATATATATATATATATATATATATATATATATAAATCTCTCTCTTTCTCTCTCTCTCTCTCTCTCTCTCTCTATATATATATATATATATATATATATATATATATATATATATATATATAAGCACAGTAGTTAAGCTTACTTCTATTAACTTCATCTTCTTTAAAGTGTCTCTCACAAATATGCAAAGATTCACTGGCAATTTGCTTCCTTAAAGCTGAATCAATTAAACGATCTTTTGTTATAATCTCGCTCAATTTTTTTCTCCATTGAACGGAAAAGTCATCCTGACCTTTAGGAAGACTGAATATAGCTATTCCATGTGAATAACGAGAGGTATGACAACCATATACTGAACAATTTGCTCCAGGCATTGTATTTTGATTCAAGATCTCTAAAGAAATTTGTTTTGTTTTGCACCTTAAAGTAGGCTGGGTACTAACGCGGATAAGAACCTAACATCAACGGCAAAACCTATTGTTTTCAACCCGTGTTTCCAGACTATTTATTTTTATTTAATTACTAATAACCCGTAATACGGGTTATTAGTAATTAAATAATTGCTTACGGTTACCAACAAAAGACTACGTTAACATCCGTAAAGTTCTTTTTAAGATCTGTTACAACACACCAGGTACCATAAAAAGAAAGTCAAGTAAAGCCTTCCAATGCCTAAAAAAAGGAACGAAAAATAATTACAAAGTATTATTTGCATTTTATTGTTGATAGAATGAAGATATAACGACTTAAAAAAATTGCCGTAATAGCCCAGTTCTATCAACACAAAACACATTAACAATAGCGCATAACATAAGATATTTGTAAGCACACATTACTATGTCTCTCCAAAATGATTAAAAAAGAAAAGATTATATAAAGGCTAGACAACTTAACGTAGTAAATAACTTAATAACGTATAACACCACAACTTAAGATATTTTATCAACTAAAATACTTGAGCTAAAAAGATTTTATTTATTACAATATTGAACAATTTTATCATAAAACACCAAGCAGCTCATAAAATTTTTTATACACATGGTCATTAACAATTGTGGCATTAATAAAACTTATATAATTACTTTTTTTTAAACTAATAAAGTAATTATATAAGTTTTATTGATGCTCCATGCACTAACTCTCTTTCAACTCTTATCTAAGAGTAAACAAAATTATTTTTACCTTTATTATATAAAGCTCCAGCTTCTCTTTAACTGTCAACTAATGATTAATAGAGTAAATTTCATATCATTAAATTTACAAAATTAAAACCATGTTTCAACAGTAAGCAAACTAATCAAGTGATAACAAAGGCAACTAAAAAAAAAGAACATAATTATGTTTGAATTTATAAAAAAATTTAAAATCATTTAAATTTAAAACTATTTGATTTAAAGTGTTTTAAAGTGTTTAAAATAAAATCAAATAAACACACATTAACACCGCTTGACATTGAATTCTGGCAAGTAAGTTTTCTGCTCGCCGAGCAGCATTTCTTATATTTCAACAACTTTTTTTTTAATTTTATTTTAGGTGCTCCAAGAAGTCCTCAAGGTCTTATCACAGAGCACCGTGGATAAGCATTTAATAGGAAGTTCACGCCTCCTTAAATTTTTATTTTTCGATAAAAGTTGTCTATCAAAAATAAAAATAAAAATTTATTTATATCATTAAATTGTAATTTAACAAAGAATCTAGACAACAATACATAATCTAAAAGTGTAAAAAATGAAGTAATATCACTCAATATATTTTACTCCAAAGTAATTAAAAAAACCTATTAAATCTAATGAAAATATTAGTAAAAAAATATAGCAAACTTACTAAAATCAGTACCAGTTCTACTGCCTAAAAACTTTTATTATTAACCCTTCTAATAGTAATAAAAAAATAACAACAAAGTGATCTGAAGTTACTAAAAATCACTTTACCTATTTTTTTTGTTTAGGTTAATTGTCCAACTAAAAGTCTATAACTATAATACTGAGATAATGTAACGTGATTTCTAATCAATGTAGCACGTTCAGGGTTGTTAACCAATTGATTATGCCAACCAGCATCACCCCTTAGAAAAAATAAAGAACAAACCATAGGCTCTAATTTGGCAGACATACTTGATATATTTTAAGAGGATGACCTCTTGGGAAAATAACAACTTCACTGGAAGTAGGTGAAGCACTATCTTCACCAAAAAATGCAACTTCATTATGTGAACGGAGATTATAGTGACATCTATCTTGCCCTTTTTTCTCCCTATTTCAGTTTAAAGTATATGCTGCTTGCCTAGCAGGATATCTAGCATTGTGTTGATTATTAATTTCATCCCGCCTCAGCCCATTTCTTGCATTTCTGCGACGATTATTTATAACTTGCTTAATAATATTTCCATCATTTTCTAAACTAATAGCCACTTCTAGCCTTATATCATCCATTTAAACTTCACTTTTAATTGATAGTAGTAACAAAAAATCTTAAAAGAATCTTAAAGATTGTGATTTTTTTTTTTACTTCTCTAAATTGCACACACACACACAAAGAATAATTTTTAAAACATTACATAGGAAATTTTCATTTAAAATAAACCAAATTATACAACAATATTGTGAGTTTTTTATAAAAACATTTTTTTAAATATATCCGTTAAAAGATGTTTAAACAAAAAATAAACTTATAAATATAATGTAAATAAAACAGTTAACCAATAGTAATAAAAAAATAATAATAATAAAAAATTTAATGATAAAGGGTACTGTTAATACAAAAAAAAGAAGACAAAAAATAAAAAGTAAAGTATTTGTAAACCCCATTTTAGTAAACTTTAATACTATTTCTATAAAAAAAATTGTATAAAAAACATGCAAATAATTTAACCTTCACAAACAATGACTGTTCAAAAGTTGTAGTTTAATTCATTTTTCTAAATTTGAAAGAAAAAAAAAATTTAACAGTATCACTGAAATGCCAACAATATAATAAGCAACATGACAAAGTTTATCAAAGATTAATTATCTGCTTTTTTATTACTTAATCTTTTTCCCAATATTTTATATTATTTATTACACATTAAAATCATAAGATTAAATTTATTAAAGCTTAACATAAGTTAAAAGCTATAAACACTAAATTATTAAATTCAAAACAATCAAAAGAAATAAAATCTGCTGGAAATCAACTAATTAGTTTAAAATTATAACTTAAAAATATTACAAATTTAAATGTGATTTTTGTTATAATTAATAAATTGCTGCAGTACATTTTTTCAAAAATGATTAACTGATATGGTATATATTCGAAGCAATATAATAGCCATGTAATATTGTGAATCAAAAATTAAAGTAATAAAAACTATAAATAATAATCTAAACAAATACTAAAAAAATAAAAACAAACAATTTAGAATATATATATTTTTTTAATGAAAATAAAAACCAAGGAAAAAACAGCAACAAAAAAATTAATATTAAAAAAGTTAATATCTTCACTGATTGAATATATTAAAAATTTTTTTGTTGCTATTTTTTACTTGGTGCCTCCCAGCACCCCTGTATGGATGAGCCCTCCATTTGAAAGAGGGCTATTCCATACCATTATTACTGCAACATTTGTTAAAGGACCTCTCAGAGTGGTTCTGGGTGCTGGGAGCAATATAGTCTGTAGCTGCTCCAATTTAGATCTAAAGAAAAAATAATAATATAAAAAAAAATAGATGCATTAAAAATAATAAAATGAAAACTCCTAATATAGAAAAATTGAAAAAAAAAACGTAGTAAAACCCTTTTAAGCAAACTTCAATATTATTTATTTGAAAAAAATATTAGTAAAATTTTTTAAAAAATTCACTAAACTTAACAATATTTTGTTCTTCTATACCACATAAATACATCATTTGATAAATAAAAAATGTAACAAATAAGTAAATAAGAAAAAAATTACATACAAAAAAATGAAATCATTGTACCTGATAAAGCTGATGTGATTTACCAGAGTAGAAGTAGTAGGCTTTTAGTGAATCTAAATATTAATTTTAGTGAATGACTAAATGCAGTGAGGTCTAATAATGAAATTAACTATGTATCATTTTTAACAGTAGACAACAACTTGAAGGTAAACCAAATGTATATCAACTCAAAAGATTACAAAAAAGCAACATCACAACAACAATAGCATTCACCATAAGTTCATATAATATGCATATAACATAACTTAAGAAACATAACATTCATATATAACAGAACATCAGTAACAACATTACGCAAAATGTTATTAAAATACATTATGTATTTTCAGAGTAATTATTAATAAAGGCTTGAAAACACCTAGACCTAAAGCAGTAACAGTTTGAAACGAAACACTGCTTTGTAACCCTTTGCAGTAAGTGACTTGGCTGGCAAGGTTGACAAATCTTGCTTAACACATTTACCAATTCACAACACTTTGAAAACATATATAAACATATTTATACACTTTTATAAAACAATTATATAACTTATATTAACACATACATTATTATAAAAAAACATTTATAAAAAAGCAATAATAATAATAACAATAAGTCACGTGATTCCGACTAGATGGATACCATCTAGTCGGAATCACGTGACTTATTGCGCAACAAAAGTAACCATATTGAATGTAGGGAAAACAAATCATTACACGTTAACGCAAAGATAAGAAAGCACTCGTAATAATGTCGTTCAATTATTTTGAAAGTTTATCAAAAGAAGCAGCAGAAAGATATCAGCGAAAATTAAGTCTTTTAGGTGATTATTTTTCATGTTAATTTACTTTTTTAAATAATTTTCGTCAGAATAAACGAAAATAATGCATAGCATTTTGATCGTTTTAGGATTGGACAAGTGTCCATATAAGTATCCGGCTGATTCTTGGACTGAAGATCCAATTCAATGGCCTTCCTTAAGTTATCATAATCTATATCAATACCTAATTAAGACTCCATGTAAGAAATATTTCTAAATAGTTGTTTATAAGTTATTATATATTTATTAAGTTATTATATATTTAATTCCTAAATCCTAAAATTATGTTAGTTTGCTCAGTGAATATTAATGTTTGCTTACACTTATTTTAAACATTCAACACTATGTAGGCATCTATTCTCCAGAAGCTATGGAAAACTACAAGTCATTGGAGGCTTGGAAGTTCTTTCAAGAAGGTTGGGTGCAAACTGTTGTCCATATGAAGATAAGTCAAGATATCATGATCTTAAAATGTGATGTTAGACCTTCTTACAGAACCACATCTCCTAATCATAAGCCTTGGATTGCTCTTGGTTCACTTGGTAATGTAGTGACTGCTCACTGTAATTGTATGGCCGGGTAAGTGTCTGGAGAGCACTTGACTATAATAATTTAACACTAAAAGTTATCTTGTTTTGTGAACTACTAAATTTTGTTTACATTATTTAAATCTGTTGAAATTATTTATAGGTGTTTTTGGATTATTTAAATCTATAGTTTATTGTTTTTAACAGCCTTGGTGAAACATGCTCACATGTAGCTGCAACATTATATAAAGTTGAAGCTGCTGTTCGCATTGGAATGACATCATCCACACCAACTGATTTACCATGTCAATGGAATCAAACATTTGTAAAAAATATTGTTGGTTCCCCAGTTTCTCAAATAAATTTATATTCTGATGCTGCTAAAGAGAAACTTACAGGAAAAAGAACTAGGAAAATGCCTGTTTCTCCAACAAATATTGAAAAATATCAGTTTTTGTCAGAATTGAAAAGTGTACAGCCCAAAACAGCTGCTCTCAGTTTGTTTAAAGATTTTGATACTGAATTTATACACTTAGAATCTACTGTTGTAGCAAAATTGCCTTTATCTCTCAGAAATTTTTTCAATGCAAACTATAAATCTCTAGATAATGAACAGTTAAATTCTTTTTTTGATGAGAAAATAAAAGATTTAAAATTAAATTCTAGTGACATTGTCTATGTTGAAGAAGCAACTCGAAATCAATCTTTGTGTGATTCTTGGTATCAGGTACGAGTTGGACGAATAACTGGTTCTACTTTGTATCAAGTTTTTCATGCTAGAGTTGAGACACCACCTAAATCTTTAATTTTAAATATTTGTTCAGAATAGAATATAACAATAAAAAGTCCTCCAATAGTGTGGGGAAGAGAAAATGAGGAAAATGCATTGACTTTATATACACAACTTTATTCAGACTGTAATGAAGCTCATAACTTATTGGCACTTTCAGACATTGTCATCCATCAAAATTTAAAAGTTGAAAAATTAGGGCTTTGCATCGACTATGAAAAACCATGGTATGCAGCATCTCCTGATGCTTCTGTGTATTGCACTTGTTGTGGACATGGAGTTTTAGAAATCAAATGCCCTTTTAGTTTAAAAGACAAATCTTTGAAAGAAGAAATACTGAAAGATGTTTTTTATGTAGGATTAAATACGGATGGGAAATATTTTTTACAAAAACAGCACATTTTTTCCAGGTTCAGCTTGAAATGAGAGTTACTGGAGTGAGCTATTGTGATTTTATGGTATGGACACCCAGTGAGTTTATAGTTTTACGTATTGAACCTGACATTAGTTTTATGGAATCGGTGTTTAATAAATGTGATGTTTTTTGGAATAGATTTATTTTGAGGGAATTAGTAACAAGAGAAGTTGAATCAGGAATGAAATTGCCCTCCTCTACATTAACAGAAACCATAAATAATGATGATAATGTTTTTTGTATTTGCAAATCTAAAAGCTCAGAAAATGATGATGCGGCTGTGATTCATGTGATAATTGGTTTCATCTTAAATGTATATCTTTGAAATCTGTGCCAAGATCGTCTGTATGGTATTGCAATAGCTGTAAAAACAAGAAAAAGTCTGCACACTAAAACGTAATTATTTTTTATAATTTCAGCAGCAAAAAGTTTTTTTTTAATAATACATTTTTTTATTATTATCTTCTTAGAAACCAATACATTAATGGAGCAGTATTAATGCTATTCTCCTTATCATTTTCATGATATTTGTTGTTAACATTATTATGCTGGGAAATGGAATGGAAAAATCATAATTTGAGGTGAAATAAAGAATATCCCATTTTTAAAAAACGGCTATTTTCATAGCCACATATTATTAAAAACATTAAAGCATATGATATAATATTGAAAAAAACTGTTACAGATTAACAGATAATCAAACTCTTCCTATTCCCCGAAATCTCGGTGAATAGGAAGAGTTTGATTACCTGGTCTAAATAAAAAAGAAGTAAGGCGGTATTTTTCCTTAAGTTAATCGGTTTCTTTTTTGGAAAAAATATTTTACCTTATTCCTCGGGGGAAAACATTTTGTCGTATTTTATGTTATAATATTGTTTTAAACCCAGGGGTAATCTTTTTCCGGATATTTTTCTAAATGTTATGTTTTTCCGGATATCCAAACTGTCTGACCTACATATTATTTGTTTGTATTTTTGTAATTTATATATACTTTATTTGGTTTTTCATTCATACAACAATATAAAAAAGAAATAGGAAAGTAAGAGTAAATATATAACGGATTTTTTCCGAATATACAACTGTTTATACACAACTGTTTACCGGATTTTTAAAATATGACTTGGATAATCACTGTAAACTATCGTTGTTCGATGACGGCTCATGTATGCAAGATTAGTAATGAAGGAAGCGTGAAATAAATACTGTTACGCGGTGCTCTATAAAAAGACCCTTAGCACTTCTCGGAGCACCTAAATTAACAAAATCTTATTTATTAATGTTATACAAAAAGTCTAATGCGTAAATTGAACTCTCAAAATACTAATGATAACAATGTTTCTATTGAATAGATTCCAACGATATTTTTTTACGCAAATTTACTCAAAATCAAATTTAGGAAAAAAAATTGTAGTAACAAATTATTTTACTAAAAAATCGTATTAACAAGTTATTACATTTTTGACAAAGCGGTATCGAAATGTATTTTCATATTTAATTCAGACGCCGGTCGATATTTTATTCATTTATATTTTTATGTTGTAACGACATAAAGTTGTGGCTCGTTTTTTTCAAACCTAATAAATATTCTAATCCGTATTTCGCACATTTATTAGGTTTATAAATATTCTATTAAACTTATTCAACACACCTAAATAACTTTAAAGAATGGACTAGTTTTCATGATCATTTTCCGTATCGTATTGTATTCCATACCATATACATTTCGTATTGAATAGTGAAAATCCTTATTTACAGGGCTGTTAACAGCAAAAGTAGATCCCAAATGTATTTTCGGTCTGAAAATATGTACCATGCAATGCAGAAAGGCTTCTCCTTTTTCCGGGGCACCAGGGACGATATACATAGATCATCCAGGTAATATTGAAAAAAAAAAAGGGAAATTCTTTGCGTAAAATATCCGGAAAAAATGCGGAATATTTTTTCTCTTATTTTCCTCATAATTTGCTTTCAGCTGAATTGTATCTTAATTTTTTTGAAATTTTCTTTTTTGAACGAGTGATGACTAAAAAGCCCCTAAAAATCAAATATATTATCTAAACATATATATAAACTTGTATGCATAGAAAACTATTTGGATATCCGAAAAAACTAAATAAAATATCCGGAAAAAGATAATCCCTGATTATACATTGATCATCCGGGTCATATTTTAAAAATTAGGTAAGATATCCGGTATAATCCGGATTATATTTTCCACTTTATTTTGCTATTACCTGAGTTGATTTCCATTTTAATTTTAGTATGACATACAAAAATTATCAACTTTAAGTTTTCCCAGATATCCTAAAATTTTCCAGAAATTAAAGCTGAGGTATATATTTTGGAAATATATTTATTTTTATGCTTTTTCACTTATCGCTAATACAGTATGAGCAATAAGTGAAAAAGCTTGAAAATAAATACATTTCCAAAAGATATACCTCAACTTTAATTTCTGGAAAATTTTAGGATATCTGGGGAAACTTAAAGTTAATAATAATATCCGAAATTCCAAAATATCCGGAAAAAGAAAATCCATGAGTACAACTCTTGTACCACCTCTTGAGGTCCTTTTTGTCAAATAATGCTTTTATTAAGATATGTGGCTATGAAAATAGCCGTTTTGAGAAAATTTAAACGATTCCTTCACCAAGGTTTGTTAAAGCAGCACAAACTGTTACAATTTTGTCACAATTAGAAAGAGTAACTGAGGTAGCTTCATCAGTAATGTTTTTAACAGTTCGTAAAGGCAATACACCTTGAAGAATGGTGTAACGATTTTTCAACAGCCCAATAACTCTTTCTATGTGAATTCTAACAGATGATATTTTGCGAGATTTTTCTACCTCCGAAGCAGAAAGTTGTGCTTTATCCTTTGTAAAAGCTGGATTTATTAATATAGAGCAACTTTTAGCTGCAAAATCGT